CTTTACTTCACTTCACTTCACTACACTACACTACACTACACTACACTACACTACACTACACTACACTACACTACACTACACTACACTATAGAACTCCTCACAAAGATTAATTTTATACAAAAATTATGCAGAATAATTTGTTTTCAAAACATTCAGTAATCAAAATGCTGTGCCCTTGAAAATTTACTACCTAGATAAAAGTAATACCCTAAATTAATTAACAAACATAATTACTTTTTACTGAGACCAGTGAATGTTAGAACCACAATCACAAATCAATTAGACCATATTTTGAAAAGTTTTATAATTAAAAAACCCATAATCTATTCCCAAATACACAGATAGAGATCACTGGTACATTTCTTGCATAGTGTGAAATTGAAGTGAAATTAACTTATTTATTATTATTATGACAAAGCTAATCACTTACTTCACACAAGATTTCAGTTCAATGCAAGACATCGTTCATTATGGTTCTTGGATTAACATTCATATAACTATAGTATTTTCATTTTGTCAAAATGAGTTTATTATTTGTGAATTTCATTGATTATAATCAAAACACTGAAAGACTGGAGATGTTCTAAATAAACTATTTTCTGTTATATGAATTTAAAATCATATAAACTAAAATGACACTATTTTAACATTACATCTCAGGTTAAAACAACACATGACAATATTTTTAAATAACAAGAAAATTATTTCAAACAAGTCATTGTCAATGACACGTCCCCGTTCCGTTCATATTTGAGTGACATATACATTCAAAGCAGATCATGACCGAAATGCACCTGCATATGTACAACACATTGTACTAAATCTGAACAAAATCGATCCATGCATGACTGAGATCCGGTTCCGGAATTGTGAAAATGCGTGATTTTGATGCATTTTCGGCCTCAAAATGGCCATCATTCAGCTATTGTTAAGTGGATCATGAAACAATTGCACATATCTATTTGTGACATGATGTACCATGTGTGTGTGAAGTTTGAACTTGATCAATCCTGACATGTCTTGGATACGGATCCAGAACTGAATTCTTTAACAAAATGACCGCCAGTCGGCCATTTCGAATTTAATCCTAAAAAAAAAATGACGTGCATCAAGGTCCTATTATGTACCAAATTTGAACGAAATCCGTCCATGCATAACTGAGATCCGGGTCCGGAATGGTGAAAATGTGCGATTTCAATGCATTTTCGGCCTTAAAGCGGCCCCCATTTGGCTATCGTTAATGAGATCATGAAACAAATGCACATACATATTTGTGACATGATGTACCTTGTGGGTGTGAAGTTTTAACTCGATCAATCCAAGCATGTCTCAGATACGGATCCAGAACTTAATTCTTTAAAACAAAATGGCCGCCAGTCGGCCATTTCAAACCCGATCCAAAAAAAAAATGACGTGCATCAAGGTCCTATTATGTTTAATGTATGTACCAAAATCCGTCCATGCATAACTGAGATCCGGGTCCAGAATCGTGAAAATGTGCGATTTTGATGCATTTTCGGCCTTAAAATGGCCGCTATTCGGCTATCGTTAATCGGATCATGAAAAAAATGCATGTGCATATGTCCCATATAATGTGTGATGTATGAGTGAAGATTGAACTTAATCGGTCCATGCATGTTCGAGATACAGATGATCACGGACGCACGCACGCACGCACGCACGCACGCAGACGCACACAGGGCAAAACATAAGTCCCCGTTTTCGGCCTACGTCCGAACGGGGACTAACAAAGTGGTAAAAAACGTTATGTCAGGTTTACAATGAAATAAGTCTAGGTTGAAGAAATTTAAACACCAATGCAAACACAGTACACAACATTTTGTTTATGACCTGTTCACAGTGGAGAAGCAATCATTTGTTCAGGTTTTATATACAGTCAGTCAGGCATAAGTAGAAGTTATTGAGTCACACTTTGTATAGATACACAAAAAATAAGGTCCTCATTTATTTAGCATTTGTGACCAAACTATGTATTCTTATGTTGACAGCTACCAATTTTCTCATAGATACAGAGAGGTGATTCTACAAGTCACTATTTTCAGATTTCATCAAAATGATGAACAGTATATACTTATTCATGAAATAACATGTATTTAATTTCTCAGTTAATATTAAAAATACTCTTAGACTATTAATCGCATGATCCTTAACTGAATTTGATATGAATTTTATGAAAGTTCCACGGCCGCGGCGAAGGTCACCGGTTGCAGGATGAACGCATTTTATGCAAATGTATGCATACATTCCATGATGCCGGCTGACCAGTACGTCAACTAGAAAACCAGCTGATCCTGCATTTGGTGAATACACCACATCTTCCGCCCATAGGGGGCGCAACAGAGGTCAACGGTCAAGTAAACAACAGTTCAACTTCCAACATGGCGTCAACACAACAGCAAAACTCCAGCATTACAGTAACTCCGAAGCCGATCCCTGCTACAATTCCTCCAGCGAACCTGCATCTGCCATTTGTCGATCAACAGTTGTTAAACTCACTCTCAAACAGGGGTAAGTTCACCGATTTTTCAGATCTACACCCAGATGTTTTGAAGCCTAATGTTACGCGAACGTCTAATACACACATTTCATTTGACCCAGACAATCCGTCAGTAGCAGTATTCTCCACTCAGGCGAAACGTAACGAAATAACTGGCTAGACTGTTGGTCAACATTTGCGGCCTACAGGACTTATTACCATCCAGAAGAAGCAGTCTATTTGTTTAATTACCAGCGTCACATAGCAAGTAGAGCTAAGACTTTCAAACCAGAGGCATGGCTGGCTTATGGCAAAGAATTTCGCCTTGATCATGCCGCTATCCCGATTTGCGGAACTGGAGTATCCCAAATGCACAGCTAGATTACCGGTATGCACATTTCCAGCAGAATCTTCATTTACTAATTCCAGTTTGTTCCAACTGCCACAAAAAGGGACATATGCGCCAAGACTGTACTCGATGGCAAGACCCCTACCGCTGGGTCAACAACAATATAACAAATCAACAATAACAACGTCTGCAGAGATTTCAACCGTGGTCGTTGCAACACTCCATGTCGCCACAACCGCATTCACATATGTAACATTTGCCACTCTACAAGCCATTCAGCAACATTTCATCGCACACCAGAAGAAGGAAATCAGCTTTTTCTTGGCCAATCCCAGTCTAACCAACAACCACCACAATTCCAGCCCGTTCGTCGACAGAATTCTGCAAATGGACATACTTTGAACAATTCATCCAGAAACACCACTCAAGCCTGAGGCTTTTGCACAAGTCTTACATAGTCATCCAAACAAATCATTTGTTGCCTCAACATGCCTTTCGTCTATGTCCAGTGAGGAAACAAGACTGGCACCTTCTGGGCTACTACTGGGAAGGTCACTATTTCTTTGATCGTGTGTTACCATTTGGATTACGCTCTGCACCATACCTATTCAACCAACTAGCAGACGCCATTAACTGGGTTGTTGCACATTGCATTGGATCTACAGACATCCTGCACTACCTTGATGACTACCTCACTGTTGGGCCTCCGAAAGTCAAGAAAATATTTTAAATAATTGTGATTCATCGATGTTCCCAACGTGAATTATTTCATTTGAAATAGAGTGAATATGTAATATAAACCAGACAATAACATACCATATGCATAATGGTTTTAAAATTTTACTCAGTGCAGCACACTTTGATTGCATTGTTCATTATTTAGTAAAATACATGGGGCCGATGATATTACCATATATTCCC